GCGCTATCGCTGATTTACACACTTTCCAGTTCACCGCTGCACACGCATTAGGATTCCTAGTCTTCACTAGTCGTCTCCTGGCAACGGATCTCAACACAGAAACTAGCACATCAAATCGCTAAGTCTTCTTGTTATTTCGTCTTCAGTCACTCTTGAATCTCGGAACTAAATACTCTTCTGTACTCATTCCTCCAGCTTACGTGTCACTGGTAACTGCCCTGAACTGAACGTGCTTCTGCATTCACTTCTCTTATAAACACTCTGCACAGACCCCATGGAAAACGCCGTACTTCATATCCTATATGCGTTCCTCTTCTTCCCAATCGTTTGTGAATAGTAAGTTTGTGAAGAGTAAAGCAGGGAAGATGCCGTTACGGTAGCCTAGCGGTCTAAGGCACTGTCTTCGCCCGCTCGGAAGCCGGGATCGTGGGTTTGAATCCCACTCAGAGCATGGATGTTTAGTTTGTGTGTGTGTGTGTGCGTTTTTCTGTGTTTGTGTACAGGTAGAGGCCTTGCGACGGGCTGATCATACGCCCAAGGAGTCCTACCGAATGTATAAGATATAGAAACACCGAAGTGAACGGAGAAGTTCATGGAGGTAGGCCTAGGCCCACTGGGGCTGTAGTGCCAAGGAAAAAAAAAGAGATAAAGGTAAATTTGGATAGAGAAGATGAGGAATAGAGAGCAGTGGAGGCTGGTTGTAGAGGAGGCTAAGGCTCACCAAGGGCTGCAGCGCTGAGTGGTTCGGGTATGAGTTATGAAGCTCCTCATTATGCAGTTTTCTCCAACTTCTCCTCAGCACCCTGTTCTCGAACACCCTCAGTCTATATTCCTCCCTTAATGTCAGAGACCAAATTCTACATCCATACAGAACCACAGGAAAAATTATAGTTTTGTATATTATGATTTTTATGTTTTTAGACAGCAGACGAGAAGACAAGAAGTTATGAACTGAATGGTAGCAAGCCTTACCCGAGTTCAGTCTCCTCTTAATTTCCTCCTGAATCAGGTTTTGATTTATTATAGTCGTTCCTCAATATCTGAACTGTGCCACACTTTCAAAACATCTTTTATGTCATGATTTTTCCCTGCATTTTGGTGACGAGACAGTAACATATACTTAATTTTCTCAGTGTTTACTTTTAGACCAACCTAATTACTTGCGTCAATTAATGTTTTGTGTTTGTCTTTATGGTATCCATATTATCACCCAATAAATTCACATTATCAGCGTAGACCAACAGTTGATGTGTCCCGTTTGATTTCAGTCCCACCTGGTTTTCTTGTACCTTCCTAATAGCATATTCGTAAGCAAATTTGAAAAGCAGTGGCGATAAAGCATTACCTTGTTTTAGACCATTCTGGATAGGAAAAATTTCAGAGAAATATTTACCTATATGGACTTTATTATACGTTTCATTTAAACACATTTTAATCAGCTTAACTTCTTTTATGGTCCCCCAGACTCAATCAGAATATTGTACAATAATTCCCCCTTAAATGAATCATAGGCTTTCTTGAAGTCTATGAATAGTTGATGTAATGTCTCATTGTACTCCAATTTTTTCTCCAGTATCTGACGAATGCAGGAGATCTGATCAGTACTTGATCTGTTACTTCTAAATCCGCACTGATGACCCCCAATAATTTCATCTATGCATGGACTCAACCTTGAGAGGAGAATATTAGATGAAATTTTGTGAGAAGTCGATAGCAGTGATGTTCTCCGATAATTACTACACTCGGTTTATCGCCCTTCTTGTGAATAACAATAAAAAGGCCATCTCAGAAACACATCTGTTCCAGAACCGTCTTCTGATTTCAGCTTTAGCGACACAAAATCTTAATCCTAAGATGTATCACGCCAAAGGGAGGGCCTTTTCATACATGTTTCTTCCACAGCTGTTCAGAATCGGTTCAAAGTTATCATCTATTTTGTAGCACTTTCGCATGCTGAACTTCTTTTCTCTTTGGTGGAGTGTGATATGATATGACGGTGAGGATGGAATCCAACAAGATAGAAAAATATCTGAGGTAAATCCACTTCCGCGAGGCAGGCAATGTACCACAATTAATATATTTCATAGCTGATCGTGCAACGAACTGCTTTGTTCAGCAGCAGGTATTTAATCAGATGACAGAGAAATTTGCTGTCATGAAACTTGATTATTCATCACAAGATCGCGGCTGAACAACATATCAATATATAGAACCATGTTCTATATATTGATGTGTTCATACAGGTCTCCCAAACGATTTCTTCCTAAAAGTTTCTCTAGTACGCGTTTCGTATGTATTCGCAGTAAATATCCGCTCATTTCATCCCTCTTGACTTCATCACACTAACAGAATGAAGTGAAGAGTACATATTGTGAAACTCATAATAGCTGCAAAGTGCAGGTTCATTTTTGAGAAGCTGATGTTTACTCATCTGGTCAAGAAATTCTCCGTCATACGTGGAACCGGAAGGCTCATTATCGTGTTCACAAGAACCTGAGATAAGACCATAATTAAAAGTCAGCTGAGTCCACTCCATGTCACACTACCTTTAAGAGCTATTCAATGTTTTTCTTCCATCTACGCGTGGACTTCTCAAGTAGTCTCTTTCCGACTACAATTTTTCTGCCTTCTCGTTGTGTAATTCTACCACTTTCCCAAAGATTCTCGTCTTCCTGCTTTGTTCGCAAATATATTGAATTAGCGTTCTTTGCTCGCAACAGGGACTTGAGTTTTCGAACTACAGGTACAAATTAAAACATCAACATAAAAGGTAAATCATCTTCCGTTTTTGTTTCACAGAAAATCGCAAAGAATAAATAACAAAAGGAGTAAGAATCGGTGTAAAGATATTTCACTTTCTTTCTCACGTACCCCTGACCAGTAACAGCCGTATATATATATATATATATATTTCAGTGGCGCTACAGCCCCAATTTTGGGCCAAGGCCTACCTCCATGAAACTCTCCGTTTCACTTCGGTTTACTAGGACTCCTTGGGCGAGTGATCAGCTCGTCGCAAGGCCTCTACCTACAGACAGACACAGAAAAACGCACACAAAAATCCATGCCCTGAGTGGGATTCGAACCCACGATCCCGGCTTCCGAACGAGCGACGACAGTGCATGCCTTAGACCGCTCGGCTACCGTGACCGGCATATATACTCGTATATATAAAGGAAAAGCTATCCCTGTAACAAGCCGTGGAGGCCCATAAGGTTGTGAGACGTCGAGGCTCCCACATTTTCTAGACAGTCAGCTCACAGATGGCGGTAAGCTTATCAGCCTTACCTGATGGCCGCTTTTTTCCCAGGAAGATTCATGGTACTTAGAAAGAGTAAAAGGTTAAAGGTATCTCTGCAAAAGGCAACGAAGGCCCATAGGGTTGTGAGAGGTTGAGGCTCCCACATCTTCTAGACAATCGGCTCACAGATGGCGGTAAGGTTGTCAGACTTAAGCGCCGGCCGCCCTTTACCTCCAGGAAGGTCCCTGGTAATTTCTGTTAGAGGCTGAGTCGACCCCAGGGCCATAGTGCGGCTGGAAGGATTAGGTAAATTGAAAAAATCCACCTCATCGGAACTCGAACCCGCGACCTTCCGGTTTGTAGCATAGTGCCTCAACCAACTACGCTACCGCATACCCTCCGTCAGAAAGAGTATCTATTGCAAATATAAACAGTGTTTTAAGTTCGTAGTAATAACCCTTAGACAGAACACTGTTTCCTTTCTGGAAAACATGACCAGTGAAGTTTCATTTGGGAACATCGGTACCAGAAATTTGCGAAATTTAATCGAAATCGCTAGAGCCAGTTTTAAGGCAAATATTTTATGACTGGTGAGCCTAAGCAGAGAAACCATTGTCAGAATCTCTTAGATTTAGAATAGTTTGGTCTCTATATGATTAAAATGTAATCACAATTGATAGAGCCGTTTACGAGAAAATGAAAATTCTGTGTTTTTATTGTTGGTGGATATACCATGAATGAACATCATTAGAGACGTTTATCAGAAAATCGCAGATTTATTTTGTGAGTTTCTGTGAAGAGCCCATGTTTTTGGAACTAGAATGTTTATATTCACCAGGCACATATCTATGACAAATAAGCTCTTAAATACCGAATATGCCTACGTCTGTCCATGCATTCAGGCACTAGCGAGGCGCAAATGTACATGCATACTTGTTCAAATATAGTATACATTCCAGCAACTACTTTGTCATTTTAATTGGTGCTAAGAAATCTCTAGATGGATTTTTTTCACGATCTGCATACTTTCTCGTGTATTACATATATGAGAAAGCGAAAGGAAAGGACAGCGAAATAACGAAAATATGAAGTGTGGGAACTTCACAGCCGTTACTAAAAAGAGTGTTGTCTCCTGGGATGTGACGCCGTGTTGGTTGGTGTTGACTCCATCTTTTGGGTAGAAGAGAACTCGCATTCCAATAATCTTAAAAAAAATAAATCCCAACTTTGCTAGTTCTCTAATGACAGTCTGGCAGTATCAGTATAACCGGCATTAATCGATTGACGTAAATCTAGAATCTGTTAAAGATTTCCAACAACTGTCTAGTTTGCAACCCCTCCTCCAGGCGCCTGCCCTGACTGGTGAAATGGCCCCGCTCTGGCCTTGAGAATTCCGTGCGGAAGAAGCAAATTCCCAGTTTGCCACAAGTGACGGGTCGTTCATGGTCATCCCTACGCAAAAGCTCGCTCCAGGGCCTCCTCCTACTACTACGACCGGTTTACACATCGTGCTACAGTGAAAAAGTAGTTCGCCGGTTTAATATCAAATTTGCGTTACAAGTACACTTCGACAGCCGTGAATTACTGTCTCAAGTTGGTGATTGTACTCATTCATACGAATTGCACTGACATGACGAGCGCTTGGAGGGGTTAGGTCACGAGACAATGACCCACATCAGAAGGCTGGCGATAGGGCGTCGTGCGTGGAGGGATACATTGGAATGGCGCGCGGGTACGTCAGCTTACCGGCAAACTCACTCGCGCCCGCTCGGCAGTCGGTGGGCTGAAGTGATGGTGAAAGGTTGTGTTACGTCTTGGTATAATATGTCTTGCAATCGTTATATCTCTTCGTCGTATATTTGCAACTGTTTCCTACCCACGTTCTTAATAGCTACCCGGAGAAAAGCAGTGTAATTATTAGTGTGTTATAAGTGTCACGTCTGAGATCAAGGTAAGTACGAACTTACATACGAGGTGCAGTTGTCATATGGGTGCCGTTACGTGGCATCTTATACGTGGCGTGTTACAGATGTACGAAGATTCCATGTACCCTGGAAATGAAGTATGGGAAAAATTCGAGTTCCCTCCTATGTCTTCGGATTGGGAGGGAGAATTCGATTTAGAAGCCGCAACGGAGGAGCCGCAGGTGGTGCCCAGTCACGTGATGGGTGGCCGGCATGACTGCATGTGGTCCGGAATCTGCAGCAGCGAAAAGCATAAGAAGCCGTGTTACGCAGTGGATCCTGTGGTAGCTGTTACGCTAAGAGTGCGCCCCGTTAAATCTAGCCGCAGCCTTCTGAGGACTACTCGCGCCAAGGCACCAACCACGTCCCCTCGTCCAGACACTCCCTCAGAATCTGAGGAAGATGAGCCCCCCGTGTGGATTGGTGAAGTGTGTGATAATGAGGACCTGTCAGTTTCTGTGTCTGTGTCAGAGGTCACCGGTCAAATCTTGAGGACAGGGAGTGAATTCAAGACCCTTTCACCTCCTCCTTCCCCTGCCCGTGCATTTTATACGGACCATAGCTATCACATAAGCAAGAGTGCTGTGACGTTGGATAATCTGGGCGTTCAAACCCCTTCGGACTCGGGTGAGTATTTCAGAAACTTAAATATGACGACTTAAATAAAATTAATGTATGCATTATAATAAAATATGTAAATCGTTTCTCAGCCGCACTAGATTATAAGTACAGCGGTAATTCGCGATTTTAGAGGCTGTTGCTGTTATGGCAGAAATTTTACAATATTGCGTCACCACGCCCCAGTCCGTGGCCAAGACAAGGTCGACGTCTGAAAGTGCAAAGCGCGGGAAAATAGTTACGCTCAGTCAGGGCCTCTCCATACCGCCACGTATCATCATCACTACTGAACGCCGTGGCCTTTAAACATCTGGGTGCATTTAAAAGGGCTTGTTTCGTTGAATCATTACGTCAGAGTGTTTGGGGATGTTACTGGTACTGTGTTGCATTACTTTGTGGGTTCGTTTCCAGATACGCATTGAGGATTACTTGGAAATGTCTTATCGATTACAATTTTTTTTGTCAATGGATACGGCACTGCGTATTCAAGCTTTCTCATTATGTACGGTACAGTTCCAAAGCTGTAGTTTCTTTTTACCACAAGTTGAATTTCCGGGAACGATTTAACTATTATAATGCGAGAATTGTTTAGTTATTTTAAAGAACAAAATGCAAGTTCAGAAGTTTCGAGTATCACTTTCCGTTATCATTTTTTTTTCTGTATACCATGGATGTATTTCACTCGGTCTTAGATATTGCTCATTGGAGGGGGAAGTCGTTTTTGAGAAATCGATTTGAGCCTGTGTAAAGTATGTTTTTTATTGGTCCGATATGAATTAAAATTAGAAATGCCCACCAACTTTCAGTGTAGATTCATCTCCTTAATGTTAAATTTAAAGCCTTGTATCACTCTTATAAAGTCGTTAATGTATCAGTTGCCAGTATGATGTGAGTGCCATATGCTGGGATTTTCAAGGGTTGCCTCATTGTGGGGAGAGTGGATAGCATTTCAGAGTCGTTCTGACATTTGATACTCCCTCGGGGTAACTTTCATGTCAGTGCACCACTTTCTAGGACACCATTTTTTTTGTGGGCAACTAGTTTTCATAATTCATCTCTGTGCTCTCATGTGAATTGCGAGGTGTCTGATGACCTGGAAACTCGCCACTTTTAAAGATTCTTCTTGGTTTCTATATTTCACCCTGAAGTGAACATTTATTTTGTATTTGTTTTGGAAAAATGTTGGTCCATTTCTTTACAGCATTGATTAAATGTACCGTATGATTCATTGTTCATCTCTGCACTCACAAAATACAATTTCATCTGGTTATCAGAATGAACATCGACTCCCAAAACATTAACCGACCGAACTTTCTAACGAAAATGATCCCAGGGGAACAAGAGCTGAATACTTAAATATTATTTCGATAAAATTCGCCCTCGCAAGGCTGGAAAGGCTGTGCAGTATAAAAACACAAATTAAATTAAAATTGAATATTGAAGTTTTAGAGGAAATTAACAAGTATGTAATGAATTTCCTCTGAACCAAGGTCACAATATTTAAACCGGCCTATCATTCGCCGAAAGCACTGATGGCCACTTATGATGGTCTCTACAACCTGTATATGGCCTGAATTTTTATTATATTTATCGTGTATTGAAAATCAAGGAAGTAAAACGACGTTTTGGAGGAATATATCGCGTTCATCTTCAGGGTCGAATGAGATTATCAAGTTACCAGCGTGAAAGCAGGTGGCTACACGGCGTTGTATCTCAGAAGAATGTACTCTTCATAATTACTACCGTGAGAACCTCAAATCCTACAGAATAATATGCATCTGATGATTATTTTTTATGAGTTTCAAATGATTATAAATTGGCAAAGCTTTCAGTAGGTTTTCCATTTACATTCTGGGTCCATCTAAATAATATTCACATTTAAAAGGCCACTTCGTATCTCCCAGTAAACATTGCATTTCTAATTCAGACATCAATGGATCATTGTTTGAGAAACAATCATTGTTCATTTTAGAACGAAACACATCAAAATACACTGACAGGAATCGAATTCTTAAACGCTAGAGCAGGTTGTGCGCGTACGCGTGGAGCACAGAGCCTCGTGATAGCTTTGCGCAATAGGTCAGCACCACGCGTCATGGCCATCTTGTCGGCTATTAGCGTAACTGTCGCTAAGCGAATTCCAGACCTTGGAGTTACGTAATTCTTGAGAGGCCATTGACTGGGATACGAACCTAATATAACGAATGCTGAGCCGGTGCTGAAAAATCCGACTTGCGTTGAAACCGGTTCTGGAGTTAAACTTCCAGTAGATGCACTTCCGATTTTTAATGGGGCTATTTAAAGGCGCGTTAGTGGCCACGGCAGTTTGCGCCTTCTGATACATGGAAATTGCCTATATGTACAGGAAACGGAGGCAGCTGTCCTTTCCGTCCGGACGTTTTACGTTCTCGATACATGTGGTGTTTCTAATTTATTTTAATATTTTCATCTATAATTAACTCATTTATGAGTACATGTTACAGTGTCTGCAGGCCTTATGTGTATTTTCATTATGCTATCCTGTCATTGTTGACATTAGCGGTCCTTAATTTCTTGTAACTTATTTTCTTAATGTACGGCTCTTCAGAAAATGAATTGCATAACTTTTTTACGGTTCAAGATCTATCTGTTGTATTGCTGTGTTGTTTCTTTTAAGCCCTGTTACTATTTACCGGTAGGTGACTTTATTTTGTCAAGCATTTTAACAGACATCATTATCATAGAGATCTATATTGACTTCACGATTAATCAGAAATTTTAATGGAGTATTTAGAATCACAGTTGAAGCAGTCTGTAAGACGTCTGACTACACAGAAGCAGTCTGTGAATTGCATACTTTACTTATGGCCTCTCCTGTGTTTTGGTCGCACTAATATGAGAAACAGTCAACTTATATTCGCGATCCTTTGTATGAATATGGGTCACCATATTTTTTTAGCAGTTTTGTCAGACGGAACAGTGGATGAAGTGACCCGTTACGCTCTGGACAACCCTGATTATTTTCCGAATAGAAATTAGCATTTTCCTCTTCGCCATCTTGTATTCATATTGGCCCCTCGCCTGTCCTTTTAAATTGGTGCAGGGTTGTCTTTCCCCGGAGGTAAACCCGCAGGTTAGTAGAGCACGTGGATTCTTACTTCCACTTCCCATATGTCTTCATGGCGTGTGCCTAGGCACGCGGACATACTTACTTTTCATTACTGCTAGCTACGTCACTGCGATAGTATAACCAGGGCTTCAGAAGTAATGCGGCGTGATTGCCCAGTTAGGCGTCACGGACGCTGATAGACCGTATCGTAATAACGTTTGCATAGAGCATCCTGGGGGAAGATGAGTTAGTATATTTTAAGTGTTTTAAGAGAATTGAGTTGTATGCCTATTTCTAGAGCCCTCACTACAAACTATCATTTACTGTATATCACATTGTTTATTTGTAGCTTTAATTTGGTCTAAGGCCGGGCAGTGTTTTACTCAGGCGCGCATGCTTGTATGTAGCAGACAGCGGCGAGAATCCGGACTTCACGTACCCAGACAGTCCCGAATCTTTGGAATTTGAAGGGCCCCGGACTTCGGCCAGAAGAAGAGTGACTCCTAGATTTTATGATCCTAGGGCGTACGACACATCTTCGCAGTTTTCGGAAGGTTTGTAAAATTCGTTCCTGTGACGTGACCTCGGAATGACCATAACGAAATGTCTCCTCCGAGCTGGACAAAGGCGTTTGTGAAAGTTTACTTTGCATTTTTGTAAGGTATTAATTAAATGATTTTCCTCGGGAGTGAAGCGCGGCCGGCGCGTAAGGCTGACAACCTTGCCGCCATCTTTGAGCCGATTGTCAAGGTAATGTGGGACCCTCAACGTCTCACAACCCTATGGGCCTTCACGGCCTCTTACAGGGATAGCTTTACTTACTTTTACTTTTATTGGAGAAATGAATTATTCTGTGGGGCTCTTGTTGAGTTGCAGAGCTGTGTACATAATTTAGTTCAAAGGCACATTACAAAGCCCTTCGTGCTGTGCAGAGTACGGCCCTAAGCATTATTTGGTTCCATAGAATTATTAATTATATCAACTTTTTTCTAATCTTTCTTTGTTTCTTTTCTGATTGTAAAGCCAGTTTTGATTCCATAACAAAAGTGCAAGGTATAATTTTCACATAGAGTTTTCTTCCACTCGTTCTTTTTTCTTTCGTGCATTCTTTACTTGTTTTGAATGGGTGTGAAATTTGGTTCTTCACAGATTATTTTGAAAACAGTGTCGAGGAAAATATTTTGAGGAACTAAGTGGAGGTTTGAGAAGAGGCAAACGAGGAGCTTAATAATTTGTTGCATATACTTGATATCATCAAGGTGGTCAAATTGGGGATATGATGGGAGGGGAATGTAACACGCACTGGAGAGATGGGGTATGCACACAAATTTTGTTTGGACAATCTGAAGAGAAAATACCCGTAGAAGACCTATTCGGAGATGTGAAGATAATATTAGATGTGTGGGAGGATGCGGACTGGATTCATTTGGTAAAATACAGTGAAAGGTTTCTGTGAACACGGAATGAGCCGTCACGTTCTGCAAGATACCGGGAATTTGTCTTACAGACTATTAGTTTCTCAAGGACACCCCATGGATTTGGAACTCTTTGCTTTCTCTCTCACCGTCGTTGTGCCTCTCTTTCCTTCAATATTACTATCTTTCGCCACCCTCCACGATTGTCCCAGCGCATCTCCGGAGGAGACATCTGTTAGGCCTCTCGACGCTTCACTTGAGATACTCTGATTTCTCTGCAGCAGGAAAGCCTCGCAGAAGAACGCCGGAGACTCCCTCCGAGGTCAACTGTGAGACCCCTTACTATCATCAAAACTCTCTGATAGTGGACGTAGATGACGGCGAAGGTTTGTCGTTCTTATCCTTTACACGCATGCGTAGTGGGTTCATTTCTAGGGATTGTAGTGAGGTTGGAAAAGCGGCGATAAAAGGACACTAATTTTGCTTGAGAGGTACAGATTTGTGCCAGTTTTGAGTCATACTGCATGCCTGCATGTTTCCGGTATTTTGAGTTGATACTGAGTTTGTTGTACCCAGTTTGAAGTAGAGGATTGTAGCAAACAATCTGATATCTGAAGAAAGCAGTCTTCTGGGATTTGGCACCGTGTATATGTGGTGCCAAATCCCAGATGACTGCTTTCTTCATAGTCACCGCCGTGAAAGCCTCAAATCTTACAATCTGATATCTTTCTGTACGCTCACTGAACTGATTTCCCTGCAAATAGATTGGGTAGGATCAGGTTTGAGTGTTCCATAAAATTTAATTTTATGTTGGTTCAATGTAAGACCTAGCTACAAAAGCTACACATTGTTCAGAAGATTTGTTCGCGACATAAATTATGCGCTCTATGTAATTAAGCAGTACAACTTGTGTTTGAAACATTCGATATTGTTTATATTTGATCCTATGTGACACAAGGATAAAATACTTGCAGAATTTGAGTTTCTCACAACGGTAATTATGGAAGATTCTGTTGTCTGGGATATAACGCCGTGGAATTTATTAAAGGCCAACTGACGTTTCGGGGGAACGTGTCACCTTCCGTTTTCAGGATCCAAGAATTAACCTAATAAACGAACTTGAGGCCTGTAGCAAGTTCTGCCATTAACTGCCACTCAATATCTGCTATATGTCCCATGTAATAGAACTGTTAAAATGTTTGCCTCTGTACGTTGTAATATTAGTGTTGGATGACGTCAACAGAATCTATAAGCCGCCCTCCTACTGCAGTATTTTCTTTTGCTGTCAGTAACATGTCCCATATGTTACGAGTATATCTGTAATATTGTATTAACATTAAGATCACTTAGAGAGGCGGTGTTGGAAGGTAGACGTACGTAGTATTTCTTTTTGTCGTCCGCTGCTGGAAAACCTGAGGAAGATCTAATGAAGCAGCATGGAGTTCCGTAGGACGTGACGTCATAAACGAACGTCTGGATCGATGGGAACGAATGGCTCGAGCGTCGACCCGGCCGGACGCTTGCGGCATGCGGGAACTGGTGAATCGAAGTTTATGCGCGTGGGGTTAGAAGAATAGGGCCACTAGTCCGTGTCGGTGGGAACAACTTCCACTTATATGTTTAATTAAGACAGAAAACTGAGTTTGAAGCTGATAGTCGCAAAGCCAGTCAGCGAGTTACCCTTCCCTCTTCTATATCGAATCATTATCGGGAATGGAGAGAACTACGGAAAGAGGCGCTTCTCAGTTCTTAACCACAGCTATAAACCGTGGCCATGCAGGTGTAATGTGATTGAAGATTGTGACTGCCCTGTGATTCATTTGTTTATATACGAAATGTTGCTATGAAAACTGCCTGGGTTGTGTAGTGGCGAATGACGTGTGACAGGACGATGATGAGTTCCTGACCCTGTGACGAATCTTGTGCTGAGTCAGAGAGATGAGACCCCCGCCCCCCAGCTTACAGATTGATGATACGATAATGTGCTGTTTGGCCAGGGCCACTGCACACTTTGAGGCTCCGTTAGATGAGTGTGCAGGTGTAGGACGAGGATTGGCAGAGGAGGAAAATTGCTGCATTGTCACTTTGTCTGCTTTCCTCGTTTTTTGAGTTAGTTATTGGAGAGGGTGGGTTTCCCCATGCACTGAGACCTGTATTGGTCCATTGTGCTTTCCCTCTATGATTTCTACCAGTCTCTATATCCTACCGATATTGGTGCGTACCATCAGTCCCGACCGAGCCAGCGAGTTCGGCCTCCACTAGCTTGGCGGTATCTATAATGCTTCCCCCATCTATCAGAGGTATTAGAGACTGCTGTTGGGCGGGAAACGTCCGTTAATTTGGCTCAGTGACCTCCTTTGGAGATATGAGGTTCTTTTACGTGCCGTAAAGCTACGACACGGGATCCACGGCTTAAAGTCCCTCGCGGAGGACCTGTTCCCTAAATTTTTCCGCCCTTAAAAATTCGACGACCTCCGCCGGGTATTTGAACCCGCGTACTACGAGTCATGAGGTGGGAACGTTACCTCTAGACTACGGAGGCCGCTTCGTTTTTTGAGTTACTGCAGTATCCATCGACATATATCGGGGTGGTACCTGTCTTGAAAAATGCCATGTCCGCCTCCTTTGCAATCCATACCTACCGCCATTCATACAATCGTTCCGGTTTCATCAACGGTATAGGAACCTGCGAACCAGTAGCCAAGGAAGTGGTCTTCACTTATTTTAAAGCATTCTCTTGCGTTAAGGAGCTGAGGAATACGACATATCTCGGGAGGCTGTGACCTTGACATCATTTTGTGACTGCTGGCATTACGTCTCCGCCACTATTGACTGGCGTCAACCCAGGATAAAGTAACATGGCTTCTCTCACATGAGACATTCTCCCGGTTTCAAGAGACATCTCACTTTTCATACCAGTCTTCTCGGAAAAAGACCTACCTACGTACCTAACGTTTTGGCTCAATTAGGCCACCTCTCTTTAGAATCTTTCCAATTCATAGATCCATCCAGTCGACGGTATGTAGTCTGACTACTGAAATTGTCGTTAAAGAAATGACATACTTACATAGTGGGAAGGAAAATGGGAACCTTTGAAAGTGGGTTCAGAATAGGGCCCAGTTGTGGACAGCGATGAATCTTCAGATGTAACTGCTCAAGGAATTAAGTGGTTATGAAGAAAGCAGTCTTCTGGGATTTGGCACCGTGTATATGTGGTGTTAACCGACGTTTCGGAGGAACGTATCGCCCCCATCTTCAGGGTTGAAGAAGTATAAGTAAATCTGCAAGCGACAACACCGTGAGACACGGTCAACGGTGTTGTCGCTTGCAGATTTACTTATACTTCTTCAACCCTGAAGATGGGGGCGATACGTTCCTCCGAAACGTCGGTTAACACCACATATACACGGTGCCAAATCCCAGAAGACTGCTTTCTTCATAGTCACCGCCGTGAAAGCCTCAAATCTTACAATTAAGTGGTTAGTTCTCGGAAGGAACACTGCTCGGCTTTTGTTCGTTACACGCCTATCCTGTGTCAGAGTACCAGTTGTCAGGTGGCAGAGGTTGAAAAGTGCTACCACTCGGCTACATCTGATTTCAAGATTTCAAATGACATTCATGTCATTGTTTCTACAGACGCGAGACACTACAATATGGTAACCTACATTCAACATCGAAGACTGGTTTATTGGCATAAAATATTATTATATTGGATGTTGTGTTAACACAGATAAGTAAAGTTAATTGAGTTATTGTTATTAACTTCTATGCGTGTATGTACGTGTATTGTTCTTCCTCGCCACAAAATGGCATAACAATTGGAAATTACTTCTTTTATTTTTCTCGGCTGTTAACGCCAACTTCAATTTTTCTTGGAATTATTATTAATTTATTGCCATTATATAAACTCATATTTTGTTGTTTTTTTAATTATTTTTGCGTATTTCTATGTACTCGTGCTAACTTTGTATTCGGCCTCTATGCTGTTAAGTTTGCACGTAAATAAACATGAATTTAATTTAATTATTACTACGGAAGGCTGGGGTACGTGGTAGCGTAGTGGTTAAGGTACTATGCTACAAGCCGGAAGGTCGCGGGTTCATCTCCCGATGAGGCCATTGGATTTTTTTTTTCAATTGACCTAATCCTTCCGACTCAGCCTCTTAACAGAAATGAGTACCAGGAATTAATTAAATAATTTTCTTAGGGAGTGAAGCGCGGCCGGTGCGTAAGGCTGACAACCTTACCGCCATCTTTGAGCCGATTGTCAAGGTAATATGGGACCCTCAACGTCTCACAACCCTATGGGCCTTCACAGCCTGTTACAGGGATAGCTTTACTTACTTTTTTACTACGGAAGGCTGCTTGGAACAAACTTATGATCCCGTCCTGTGACAGCACTGTCTTAACGCCAGTATTAAGCCAGCGCCGACTGGTAGGACGGTCAGTGAGTAGTAAATTGGAAGGGGTGTGGAAAGAAATGGGTCGTCTAATTTGAGATAATATTCTTAAATTTGCTTGGAGGAACTAAGAGCCAACCTTCCGGCCGAAACTGAAATCGCGACACCTCCCAAATTGGACGCAGTGATGATATTCACCGACTCGGTTGATACTTTGCTGTTAGTGATGGATTTGAGGTTTTCACAGTGGTGACTGATGAGTGCGGTCTTCTGGATAGTAATGTGTAGGTCGAAGAGAACCCGACGTTTCAGAAGAAAATATCGCTTCTGTCTTCAGTGTGGACAAGCAAACCACCACCAGAAGCAGGCGGCAAGCTTCTACCACCGAAAAGCTATTATTATTATCATCACCATCGTCATTAGCTTATCACGTAGGGTTTTCATGGCACACACAGCCCTTCATATTCCATATTCTCTTAATTTCTATGCTTGAGCATTTAAATTTTTTTTCCAGCCTAATTTTATATTGTATTCCACGGTAGCCGAGCGGTCTAAGGCATGCACTGTCTTCGCTCTGAAGAAGGGATCGTGGCTTCGAATCCCACTCAAGGCATGGATGTTTGTGAGCGTTTTTCTGTGTTTGTGTACAGGTAAAGGCTTTGCGACGAGCTGATCACCCGCCCAAGGGGTCCTACCGAATGCGTAAGATCTAGAAAAACCGAAGTGAACGGAAAGTTCATGGAGGTAGGCCAAAGCCCACTGGGGCTGTAGTGCCAAGGGGGAAAAAAAAGGTAAATAAAGTTAAAGTCCCTGTGCTTAACTAATTAAGCACTACGCCAAGGAAAAAAATTCGTGTCCAGGAGTACTACATCTATCAGCATGCATGTCGTTTCTTGTTTTTAATTGCTTTGCCCAGCCTGTTTGCCAGAACCACTTGATTTCTTAGTACTGTTATATCTTCATGTTCACATATTGACTGGGTGGGT